TAATGTCTCTTTTGAGCATTAGTGCAATTCTAAATAGTACAGAAAGAGGAAACTGCCTATAATGCACACCACAGATGTATCTGAGTTTTTGTTTTGTTTTCATTACCATTTCCTAACCTCTTATTCTAATTGTTTTTGTTTTTGTTTTTATAAATGTCCCCCAGGTTTTTCTTTGTTTTTAATTTTATTGCTATTTTGTGTTTAACTTTGATTTACTTATTTTTTTAGAGACAACTGTTTGCCTGTTTAAAGAACTGTAGGCAGATTCTAAATAAATAGCAAATATTGACATATCTGGAATTGCTGGCTAGAGAAGGTGGATGTGAAGGTGGCCCTTTTCTCACCTACATTTCTTTTCTGCTTCTCAACTATTCGATCTTGTTTTACAGTTCACTCACTCAATCTGCCTTGGAGATGACACCTTTTTTTTTTTTTTCTAACTCTAAAATATTCACACCTACCAAATCAGTGATAATACATATATCTTCAACTCAAAGACTTATATATTACTGGATTTAATATTTCCTCTTTTTAAAAACAAATAAAGAGACTTCCAGTTGGGGCTATAGATGCAAAAACCAGTTAGGGTAAGCTCCTGTGAGAAGGTAGGGGGATCTCACGAAGGAAGTTTTCATAGAACAACTCCAGAGCTCCGGATCTACCATAAGATCCAGGATGTCAGTTTCCTGCACTCAGAAGTGAAAAAAATCACGATATTAAGGAGAATACGGGTGAGTTAAGAATCTGGAGATGAAACTCTTTCAGCAACTACCCCGCCCTGGCAGAGGTTAGAGGGTGGGACTAAAGCCAGTCCGGCTCAGAAAACCCACTAAAATGGTACAGAAGCAGAAGCAAAAAAAAGTCACGGGAGACTACACATTTCTCCCTCTCTCGCTCTCTCCTTGTCCCACCTTCATTGCTCAACCTGTACAACAGGCAGGATAGTTTTCCCACTGTACAGAGAGAGGGAGCTTGGCAGTAACTTATGACGTCACCCACGGAGTCACAGATCCAAAATTTTCCCAGCTGGACCCCTTGCATCAGTGCACTGTGGAGTAGGTTCCCACTGCAGACGACTGTGAAGGGTTCCGAGGCTGTGGGTCTGAGCAGGAGCAAAGTGCCTCACCTTTCTCCCGAGTATTGGCTTGCGGTTTCGAGTTGCTGTCCTTATGGTCCACAGCCACTGGGTTGACCGAGCTCCCTGTGCAGGACCAATTCAAAGCAATCTGTAAAACCCCAGCATAACAAGACTCAACCATCCCGAGAATTGCACTGTGCACACACAGATGCCTGACTGATCTTAAGAGACAAAAATAGTGGACAATCTTTTTTCCATTAACTCCCCAATATCTACCTACACACCTCTACTGTAGTGACTAGAGGAGGAGCCAGAGAAAGTGGACACCCCCACTCCCTGATGGAGATTTCTAATTGCACACACACTGATGATGTAGCTCAGGACAGTCTACCACAGCTATATTTCTGTTCCAAAGTGGCAATTTTTGTCCATGAATTTATATTACTTCTGCTTTTGGTCCTTTTGATCACACATCTTTCCTGGAGGTGTGAGCTTTTTCTTCCTACATTACCCAAGACGAGACAATGATCATGGCCATATAGCCAAGCTATAAGCATACCCCATAATATTCCACCACTGAGACAAGACCCAACAACACCCGCTAAGTATTACATGAAAAAAAGGAAGCCTATCTCCTGATCATATTCACCAGAAGACACCCACTAAGCAAACAAAAAATTTCAAGGGCTCACTTAAGCTTAAAAAAAAAAACCCCAAAAAACCATAATTAACATGTCAAATAAAAAGCAACAAACCTTATCGAAACACGTCCAAAAACAGAAGAGAGTAGTTGATGCAAATGAGCTGGAGACAGACAAATGTTTGATAGAGGAAGAAGAGCAGATTTTGGATATGCCTGAGAAAGAATTCAGAAGAATGATATGGAAACAAATTCAAATGCTCCAAAAAAGGGTGGAGGAAAACAAGGAAGAAGTCAGGAAAGTACTACAAGAGCAATCAAATAAGATTGATAAAACATTGGAAACAATTCAAAACCTGAAAAAGAGGTCCAGATGATCAATAATAATATATCAGAAATAGACAATATGCTGAAATGGGAAAGGAGCAAATTAGAAGAGATGGAAGCCAGAACAAACGAGCTAGAAGACAAATATCTCAATACTGCTAAGATAGAAAAGTAAGTGGAAAAAAGGATTTAAAAAAAAATCTGAAGACACTCTACGATTCATGCTGGATAACATGAAGAGGAACAATGTAAGAATTATTGGCATTCTGGAACAGGAAGAAGCAGAGTAGTCCACAGAGGAGTTAGTTGAAGAGTTTCTGGAAGAAAATTTCCCTAACATCTTGAAAGATGAGAAGATAAACATTCAAGAAGCCGAACATACCCCAGGAAGGATAGACCACAGAAGAAAGTCACCGAGACATATAATAATCAAATTCTCCAAAATCAAAGACAAGGAAAGAATACTCAAAGCAACCAAGGAGAAGAGAAATGTCACTTATAAAGGCAAGCAAATTAGATTAAGCTCTGACTATTCAGAACAAACCATGCAGGCAATAAGGCAATGGGGAGACATATACAAAGCCCTACAAGAAAAAAAAAACTATCAGCCAAGAATCGTCTATCCAGCAAAACTATCAATCAAATACAACGGTGAGATCAAGACATTCCAAGATAAACAGAATCAGATTTTATCAAAACCAACCCAGCACTTCAAAACATCCTAAAGGGACTTCTGTGGACTGAAAACCAACAAGAACAGAAAACAAACAGAGATTGACAGGCATGGCAACACCACCTGGAAGTCAGTCAACAGATAGCACAGTCCAGAACAGAAAAAGACTACAACAACAAACTCAAAGGAGCTGGGAGGTCAACTGAAGAACAAAATTATATCAGTGTCAAGGGACAAACGTAGCAACAGATACCCAGGTGATAAGGATGCCAGGTAAATTACAGGATACAATGTTGTTGTTGTTGTTGTTGTTGTTGTTAAGTACTGTGAAGTCGGTTCCGACTCATAGTGACCCTGCACAGGGTTTCCAAGGCTGTAAATCTGTACAGGAGCAGAACACCTCATCTTTCTCCTGCAGAAGCGCTGGTAGTTTCAAACTGGTGACCTTGAGGTTAGCAGCCCTATATGTAACCACTACACTACCAGAGCTCCTGCAGGATACAATGGATTATCTTAAATGAAAACAAAAGTTAGTACACTACAAGGTAACCCCAAAGAAAGTTACTACTTCAAAACTTATCATAAAAATCAATTTCCAAGCAAAACAACAGAACATGAAAACTAAAAAGAAACAGACAAGAAATAGCACAAAAAACACAAACGCAACACAAGAAGGAACGCAGAACGAAAGAATAAACAGCACCACCAAAAAAGTAACATAATGGCAGCAATTAATTCATACCTATTGATAATTACAATGAATATCAACGGATTGAATACACCAGTAGAGTGACAGAGAGTGGCAGGATGGATAAGAAAACAAGACCCTTCAATAGGATGCCTGCAAGAGACACACCTTACATACAAAGACAAAAACAGACTAAAAGTTAAAGGATGGAAAAACATTTTACCAAGTTAACTGCAACAATAAACAAGCAGGAATGGGAATACTAATCTTTGACAAAGTAAACTTTAAGATAAAAAACAGCATAAGAGACAAAGAAGGAGACTATCTCATGATCAAAGGGTCAATTGAGCAAGACGACATAACCAAAATAAATATCTATGCT